CACATGCAGCAGTCATTATGATCCTGCATATAATTCTACAAGCTTATGCTCCAAGGCTCTGCCTAATCATAGCTCTGCACATGAGTTTATACTAAACATTTTTTGGCTCCACTAAGAGAGAAAATCTGGACAAATTCTACCATTTCTTGGCCTGAAAATCCATTTCATCATCTTTACAACAGAGCTAGTAAAACTTTCTGTGTTTACAATTAGTGAACCAAATGCTTGCGATAGTATGATTCGGTTAAAATACTGCTAGAATTTAGAGCATACCGGATTTTTCTGATTTATTAAACACCTGATCTATCACCCACTAGATCTCACTTGTAGCAATGTTCAGCATAACAAACACAGAGGGCAACAGTACTCATAACCACAGCACCTCTACCTTTTAGGCTGCGAAACCATTCAACTCTGTTTTATGTTTTTACCTTCTAGCCAAACTGCTTTGCCTGGAATTTCATAAGAATCATTTAATTGATGTCTGCTCAGCTCATGAAAAAAGGTAACAAAGTAAAAGTCACTTAATTATTTCACAGAACAAAACAATCACCATGGTATTTTCCCATATTCTTAACTCTAAGTCCTCTAGTTAGAGAGCCAAAAAAAAAAAAAAAAAAAAAAAAAAAAAAAAAAAAAAAAAAAAAAAATAGGACAATCCACATATTTGCAGCTTAACTTTATTAAACTGTTGATAGACTGAATATCCTTTTATAGCAGTAAACATATGTCCACATCGTTTCTAACCAAGGCACAGTGCTAAAATGCAATATGGCTTATTTTGCCAACTCTCACCAAATTTTTGCTAGTCAAAATCTGTGTGTTTTGATTTGCTAGTCAAAATATGTGCAGTTTTGATTTTTTTTTTTTTAACTTAGCAAATTCTCTTCATTGAAAGCTGTAAACGTAAACATTATTCTACAGAATCCTAGCCTGTATGCAAAGTGCTATTAGGGTAAAGAAAAAAAGTTAAGATTAAAATGACTAACTTCATTGGCAGTTTTTAATCTAGAAGGGAGACAAGTAGATACACAGACAAGGAGGAAACAAAATGCCATAGGAACTAAGTGTTAATTAAAAATGGAACAGGTACTTTCACAAAAATTGTGATCAATTCTCATTTAAAACAAGTCTTGTGCAAATTATTTTTTAAAATGACAGAAAATAGACAAATATACCGCCGACCCCAAGGCACCACGTAATTTCTTTGTCATAACAATAACCTCAGAATAATGCAGTGTAGACAGTAAAAAAAATGATGCTGAGAACAGAACGATGAAAGACAGGAAGTGAGCCCGTCTTACGTCCACTGCGGGGTTAGTATTTCCTCTGGAACTCAAGCTCCATGAACGCAAAGTCCTGGTCTTATTGTCCACTGACTCCTGGTCCCTAGAAGATTGCTGGCTACCGAAATCGGTGTTTAATAAACAGTGGCTGAATACATAAATTCCACTTTATTAGAAGCAGAAATTGAGGCTCAAAAGACAAAGCTATATGTCCAAGGTCAGACTACTGTTAAATCAAGGCTCAAACTCGCCATCTTTTTGTGGCCAAAAATGTGTCTACTAAAATAATCTGGGGATCATTTTGTAACAATGGTACAGAAAAAATTACCTTGAATGTTTAAATCTTTAATTTAAATTTTAATTAAATCATAGAAAAAATATGCAGTTATCTTGAAAGAGGTCAGCTGAGATATATAACAATGTTTAAAAGTCTCTGCCATTTTAAGTGAGAGGGGGATAGACCTTTTTTGTTAGATGTAAATTGAAAATAACTTTTAAAAAAGAGCAAAATGTGCACATCTCATGCATGAGAAAAAATGTAGCAAAAGTTACTTTGTTACTGTATAGATAAATGCTACAATCATAGAACATCGGTTCATTAAAGTTACTTATTCACAAAAGTAGATGCAGAATTGCCATTTTTGAGCTGTAGGCCCCCAATTAACTCTGATGTTATTTGAAAAACAATGATTTTCTTGTTTTAAAAATCTACTTCAAAATGCCCCCATTACTATGAAAAACTAAAATATGTGTGTTAAATAAAGCATTTATAATACTGAGACTGTATCTCTCTACAATTACTCTACACAGCAGTAATTAAATAAGTGTAGAGTTTAAGAAATATAGCTTACTTCCTGTTGACTGGTATTTATACTTCCTATGTGGTATCTATTCACACGCATTACCACTTTCAAACCTAAACTCACAGGATGAAGATATTTGACAGCAGGACACCACATGAAGTCCACCACAGTAAGTACACTGTAAATTAATATTCTGCAATGAAAACATGGAAAGCAATAAGGTCTTCAGTGCACCTAAAGATCTTGTTTTTCTCCAAGGGAAACTCTTGCCAATGTATTCAAGTGTTTTATCAATTAGCCTGCTTACTCAACAAGAATAAAACTTTTATAAGAGGACAAGAATTCTTCTGGAGGTTAGCTAGAACTTAGTCTCACGTTTTCCATTCACTGTGTAAGAACAATGGAAATACATCCAGAAAAACGTTTAGTTAACTCAGAGTTATGAGTTTGGTCTTGATCTAGAACAGGCAAAATTCAAGGATAAAGTTCAAATCTCATTGTAGCAACGGCTTCCATTTCCTTCTGTACTGTCTTTTATTGGGATACTTCCTAAATGTGAGATCTTCCCATCTCCTGAATTCTAAAATTATGGTAATGAACATCATCTGAGAATGTTCTATATAAAATACATATTTCTAAGTACTAGCAACTAACTTTATTTCAGCTCCTATCAACCTTTAGATAACATCTTGATTTTATATATAATTAAATTTCAGGAAAACTAAATAATTTGACCCTGGTTAAAAAATAATGTCAGAGAGGAAGTCTTAATCTGAATTTGACTTCTTGGACTACCCCAAAATTGTACCCTACTATTTTATTTAGCAACTACATATTGCCCTGCACACTGCATGCATTTGTACCATGAACTTTCACTCTTATGTTTATTAATATTTTTCCTACATTCATGTCTTTAAGGGCAACTATTCTGTTTGCTTTAAAGAATGTTTCAAGTTGTTTACATGACGGAAGTATGACTATGGAAGTTTTTTAAGAATTCTCAGATTCACGCTGGGGATTTAGCTCTGCAGCATAAGCACCTGCCTTGCAAGGGAGGTCCTGAGTTCCATCCCCATAGCAAAAAAAAAAAGGAATTCTCAGAGTCTCAGTTATAAAATGATTATCAGAATTGACTGTTAACTGCTAAATGTTTCTATGTGTTGCCCTATTACTCACTGTAAAGATAAAAATGCCCAAGGGAGAGCCATTGTCTGATTTCACCCACAATGAAGTTAGAAGCTGGCTGGAGAAGATGTAGGCTTTAAAAGCCAAATTATGCTTCCTGAGTACCTACCTGATGAATGTCAAAATTACCCCTGCCCCGGGACTAAAAATAACATGAAATCATGTTTGTAAAGTTGGGGAGATGAAAGAATTAACTCCTGGCAATTATTTTATTGAATTTGACAAGAAACAAAGCAAAAACAGACAAACTGGACTATTTTAAAACTTAAAACTTTGTGTACCAAATGACAGGATCGACCCAGAAAGGCTGCCTGCAAAACAGAAGAAAAAAATTGTATACTACATGTCTGAGAAGGGGTAATACCTAGAGTATAGAATTCAAGCCACAAAAATCAAATAAACTTAGGTTAAAATGGACAAATAACTTGCAAAGACGTTTCTCCAAAGATATATACAAATGAGCGACAAACAAAAACCACTCAACAGCACTCATCCTCTAAGAAATGCAAATCGAAACAAGATGTCACCCTCACCCCCACTAGGATGGCTATCAGCAAAACAAAAAGGAAGAGCTGTTGAGAATGCCAGCAGCTGGAACCCTGCACACTGAAGGCTGGAAGAGGAAATGGTGCTGCCACTAAGGTATGGTACCTGCTTCCTCACAACTGGAGTGATTATCTGATCAGCAATCCATACATGTATCTCCAAAACTGAAGCAGGACTTTACAAGCCCACGTGCATGGTAGCGCAGCAGCAGGACTCACAACACCCCAGGCAGATGAACACACACAATGGAGCATCCAGTATTTAAAATAAGGAAATGTGTCAGATACAACAGCATGGACAAATCTGAGCACGTCATGCAAGTGAGATAAACCAGTCAACACAACACAAACACACTCTATGATGCTACTTACAGCAAGTAGCTAATCAAATTCACAGAAACACAAAGTAGACCGGTGTTTGCCAGGGGAAGCTGTTTAACCGGCAGTGTCAGTGTGGTAAAATGAAAAAGTTCCTAAGATCTCTTGCACAACAGCGTGCATATTCTTAACACTAAGCACGCCTATCTTGGACTTTTTTTCTGACCTGATAACAGTGTTCAATGATCATAAAAGGATAACGGCAAAAGTCTGAGAGAAAAGCAAAATCCACAAGAACTTGAATAATGTAGAAGAAATTAACAGACTAAATCAGCTAGCCCCGCATTTTCGTGAACTTACCCATGATCTTCTTAGCCCGGAAGTACTTTGAATGTCGAGGAAGATGTCCTGCTGGCAGGCACTGTACCATAGTGCAGGACTTAAAGGGCCTTTGGGGGTGATCTGACTCTCCACTGATCATTGTGTGACCTTGTTAAGACATTTTCACTCAATGACATTCCCCCATTCATTCATCTATTTTTACCAAAAAGTCTTTCACGCGAGAACCTGGTCAGGAGCCCCGTGCCTCTCCATGAACTGCTGGGAGAAATGAATGAACAGCCCTGGCCCACGTCGGCGCGGCTCGGGCGCTGAGGTCCGGTTAGGGTCGCCGGGCCAGAGGGTGGGACGCGGCGGCGGGGCTCGGCCAAGCCCGGAGATTTACGTAACGAGCCAGCGGCGCTGCTCGGCACCGACACCCCCACCCTCCAGGGGAAGCCGTGACACCCCGAGTTCCCGCCGGTCTCGGCCCGCGGTGACGGCTGGTCGGGCCCGGCTGGGGTCGGGTCGGGTGGGGTGCTCACCACGCGCGGCGGGCAGCGGGTACAGCCGCTCGGCCTTCTGCAGGAAGCGCTGGGCCTTGCCGCGGTCGCCGGCGCCCAGGGCCTCGCGCGCGATGCGCACGCACCGCTCCGCCTCGTCCCGGTTCCCCTCCATGACGGCCGCGGCGGGGCGCGGGCGCGGAGGGCGGGGCTGGCCGGCGGGAGAGGAAGCCGGCGGCGGCGGAGCTCGCTGGGCGAGACGCGAAGCGGGCGGCAGGCCCGGCGGCAGGGCGCGGGCGCGGGGCCCGGGCGGCCCGGACGGACGGACGCGCCGGCGGACAGACGCAGGGACGCACGACGCAGGCCCGCCCCCATCCCGCCCTGCCCTGCCCCGCCCCTCCGCGGCCGCGCCAGCGGGGTCCCGGTGCCCGCAGTTTTCGAGCCGATCCTCGCAGGCAACGCGTGCCTGCCCCGCACAGTACCTTTGCGCCCTGCGGCCCGGTGCTCGCTGAGCCACAAGGCTGTGCTCCGTGACCCTGGGAGCGCCTTGCCCGCAAAGGGCCACCCGCGCGCGCCTTGTACACGCCTGAGGGCGACGCTGGACCAATCCGATGTAAGATCTCTGCGGCAGAGCCACTCAGCTCCGTGTCTGGCCAGGCTATGGCCACCGCAACCCCACTCCCTGCGGATTCCGCTTCTCCTACTGGCAGACATAGTCGCCAATTTTTGCAGGCTCCAACAGCCCCAGCCGGCCGGGTAACAACTGTTAGAACTCAGCAGGTGGGCACCCTGCCCACCCCAGCAGCTCCTCTAGAAACCCAGGTGCAAGCTAGAAATGGCATAGGTTATCTCATGTGTTGATCAACAGATTACTGCTGAATGAGGTTAAGTCACAACAAGCAAGTTCCTACTACAATCAAGCAAAGGAAGCCCAGTTTGGGATTATGACCTTTATTGAACTTATCCACAAGAGTGGAAATAATGTCTGTACAAAACCAAATGTTTGTTACTATAACTTCTGCATCACAATTATAATCCAAACAGTTTTAAAGTCAACTCAAAACCCACTACTTCAGAATAGCTTCTTTGAAGCCACAGTAACACTTAAATGTGGTTAAGACTCGAATGCAGAAATTTGGTTGGTTGGAAAGCTAATTAAACTTCCACCTTGCTCAAATAGAATTACAAAAAGGCAAAATTGTGTTTTTCACAGAGATACAGTCCACTGGAATCACCAACACTGGACAGCTGTTAAAGAGTATTTAGAGTCCTGAGATAGTAAGGAATCCAGGCATCCTTTACACAGTCTTCTGTTGTCCTTTCTTCCCAATCAGAGACTTGTGGATATGTGGGATGACACCTAGGAAAGTGACAGCATTAATTCTATTTTCAGTATACACAGACTTAAAGCCACGGCAGTTTACTGTTCCACCTAGGTGCTTTTAAAGACATCAAATTCAATTATAAAGTGTAAACTGAGTTACATACATACATCAATTTCTTATGCTTTCATATACTGCAAAAATAACACACTTAAATGCTCCCTTTCAAATACTAGTAGACATTAAAGAACCCTCGTCTTTTGTAAGAGAATTTAAAGATTTTAGTCATTACGTACCACCACCGGCAATTGTAGCCTTGATGAGCGAGTCCAATTCTTCATCCCCACGGATGGCAAGTTGCAAGTGGCGAGGAGTAATGCGCTTTACCTTCAAGTCTTTGGATGCATTTCCTGCCAGCTCCAGCACCTGAAAGGCAGAGCCCGCTCAGCGGTCCCGCTACTCCGCAGCCAGGCTGCACCCAGCGATCTGCGGCCCCGCAGCTCTGGCCCGACTGACAGAGCGCAAGGCCCGAGGCGCCGCCTCCCGGGAACGGGCTCCCCCTGGCGTCTCCGCACCGCGCCGCCCAGACTAGATGCATCCCGCCCGGCCCCGCACCTCCGCCGTGAGGTACTCCAGGATGGCCGCGCTGTACACAGCGGCCGTGGCACCCACGCGCCCGTGGCTGGTCGTTCTGGACTTCAGGTGTCGATGGATGCGACCCACGGGGAACTGCAATCCGGGGACAAGAAAGGCAGTCAGAGACGGGGTCCGCGCCGCGCCCACGTGATCCCCACCCCCGCGCCCCCCACGCCGGACTGTGAGACCCGCGCCCGGGTAGCGAAGTACGACACCACTGACCTGCAGGCCGGCCCTCTGCGAGCGGGAAACCGCCTTTGTCTTGGCCTTTCCGGAGTCCTTCCCGGCCTTCCCGCCAGCCTGCGCCGAGCGCGGAGATAGGGTTACGGGCGCCCCTCCCCCCCGCGCGCCCCCGCTGCCGCGCGTCCCCGCTAACCGCCGCCGCCGCGAGGCCAAGGCCCAGCGCCGCCGCCGGCGCCCTCTCCCTACCCAGCCGCCGCCGCAGCCGGCCAGCCCGCACCGCCGCCGCCACCGCCGAGCCTACCATTTCCAATTCCGCTGAGGCGAAAGCACGCAGGCAGTAACTAGGCCGGTCCGACACGCAGCGAGGCCCACCGCTACTCCTCCGCCGCACCGCGATTCAAACTGCGCTGTCTCCCGCCTTCCCCGCGGCCTTTATACCGCAGAATGTTCCCTCATCCGGGAACTCGGGCTGCTCGTCCCACCAATGGCCGCCGCCCGCCCTCAAGACGCGTCCCCAAGACCTCAGCCTATGAGCAGGCCAAAAACGGGCCAGGGGGGCGGGCGCTCCCAAAGTCGAGCCTCGATTGGCGAACGGGGAACGAGTGGGGGAGGGCGATGGCTGGGAACGCGGCACTGAGGGCCCGGCGGCGGGCGAGGAGGCGCGCGAGGGCGGCGCGGTCACGTGCCGCGAGCCGGTGCGCGCACCTGCGGCCCTCGGCGTCCCGGCGTCCTCGCTCCCCGTCCGGTGCGGCCCCACCCGCCGGGTGACGCCGGCAGGTGCTCCTCGCCTGGAGCGCGACGTGCGAGTCTGGGGCCGCCGGCTAAGAGACGGACAGCGCCACGCGTCGTGGGTCGCGGGCCGGCGTGCTGTGCACGGCTCCGCGATCTCCGCCGACCCCCGTGCGCACCGTGACCGGGCCGACCGAGCAGTGCTGACGGACTGGCCAGTTCGCGTCCAGTGTCAGTAGGAGAGGCTTTGTCAGGTGCCTGGACTTCTCCTTCCTGGTGGGTGAGCCGCGGAACAGGCTGCAGCACTGCGGACCGCGGACGACAGAGCCCTGAGCTCGCGGCCGCCGGCTGTCCTCGCCCCGCTGAGCTGGCGGGCGGGCGGCGCAGCCATAGGAGCTCTCTGCTCCTGCGCGGACCCAGGCGCCAGCCTCGCGCCCCTGTCCTGTCCTGCACAAGGGTGGAGCAGCACCTGTTTGCTCAGGGCAGTTGAAACAAGGGAGCAGATATACAATGTATACGCAGTAAGCCACGGTTAAACGTTACCAGGGGAGGATGAAATAAACTAAGTATCTCATTCCAAAGCCTTTCTTCCTGGTTAATGTATTTGACTAGAAGTAGAGAGCCAGAAACCTGCCCTAAGTGTACAAACAACCGAACTAAAATCCAAAATTGGTTCATTACAATCAATAGTCTTCCTTCTCTTTCAGAGAATGGGACAATATCAGTTTCTCTTTTCACAGCAGTTGTGTAATGATTTTATCTACTTCCTTTCCTGCCCTGGAAAAGGCATTATTGTTTGTGTGCTAATACCCGTGGCTTATCTTTCCTGTACTTGTGCTCATGATGATACATTTATGTGTGTTTATGAAGTGTGCCTAGCCAGAGCCGTGTAATTATTTTTGTTAAATGCCATCTCAAGTAACAATAAAAAGTAACTATCATAAACGATAACATTATATCTTGTGATAAAAAGATAGCATCGATATGAAGTAGATGACCCTCTAATTAATTAATTAATTTTGTATTTTGAGACAGTTTCACTATGCAGTTAGGCTGGCCTTGAACTCACTTTATAATCCAAGCTGGCTTTGAACTTGCAGCAATCCTCCTGCCTCAGTGTCCAGAGTGCTGGGATCACTGGTGTGCACCCCCACGCCCACTCTTGATGATGCTCTAATAATTCCATCCCTAATAACCTTTTCCTAAATGCCAGAATTTGTATGATTAGTTAGTATTTTCTCTCAAAAACTAATATGTACATTAACTACTATTGCTCTGACTTGATGTACAAATTGTCAAAGGCTGTATTTCACACTAGAACTTGATTCTTGGGCTAGGAATGTACTTTAGTGGTAGTGTGTTTAATCTTCAGTACCTTAGAAATAAAAGAGATTGATCTTGATTTTTTTCACCTAGGACATCTAGGGGGAAATATGCCTTCAAAGACTTACCAGTGGTCAGTTACTGTCGCAGTTACTTTTTACTCATCGCTGAGACAAAATACGTGATGCCCAAAGTTGGGAAAGGAAAGGTTTATTTCTTACAGTTTTTGGAGGTTTCAGTGCACGCTCAATTGGCTCCAAGGCAGGGTGGCATGGCGGGGCCACAGTTCATGGTGGCTGCAAAGAGCAAGGCAGAAACCAGCAAGAGAGGGAGACATACCTTCTTCCTGCCATTACTTTATATGCTGGCTCCACCCCTTGGTGGGTGTAGCACTGACCCCATCAACCCAAGCACTAGACAGTGAACCAATCACAAATGCATAATGCAAATGCATGAGGCCTGGGGGTCACCAATGTAAACCCTGACAGTTACTAAGCGCCAAAGTTACTTTTCTCCTGAGACAAAATACTGGGCACCCAAAATTAAGGAAAGGCTTATTGTAGCTCACTGTGTAGAAATTTTAGTGTATAGTTAGCTAGCTCCAAGGCAGGGTGGCACATGCCAGACAGGCATTGCAAAGGAAAAACAGTTCATGGTGGACAGAAAGTAGCAAAGCAAAAAAGAGATGGCCACGACTCTATCCATTGCATCTTATCCAGACTATGTAAGGTGAGTGACACTGTTACCCTTGATTCTAGTCCACTTGGGCCTAGCATTGCACCATGAGTCTATGCCAGTGTTACACACTCTATATCCAGCCACCTCTGATAAAGTCGCGCCTAGACACAAACCATGAGGGTTAACCATTGGTAGGTTCATAATTTGGTGACACCTTGGGAAGAGATAGAGACCACAGGTGGGTCTCGTTGAAGGGAGTTTATAGGGTCCTGACTTTGGAGATGGTATCTAGCCCGTGGCCTCTTCCTTTCTTCAGCCCGCCACTACGTCTTGGTCACTGTAAGCTGAGCAGCATTGCTCCTCCCATCCTGCCAGGGTGCTCTGCCTCAGCTCCAGCACACAGCAGTGGAAACAGCCCACCATGGGCTGAAACCACTGAAATATGTCTTTCATCCTTCATGTTCTTTTTCTTGGTATTTGGTCACACTGATTGGTACTAAAGTCTGTCCATTTTGATACTGTTTTCTTAAATAAGATTTTAATTCCTGAATTAGTATAACTGCTTATCTCTCCAGCTAACTTGTAAATTTATACCTACAGTACTGTACCCAACATATTTCTAACATAATAACAAATAGTTAAATATAGACATTTAACAGTTTTATTATTAGTTTGTCTTCTTTTGTCTATGTATTGTATAGCACGTGTATGTTTATATGTATAAAGTTATATATGGTAGTAAGAAGATAATACTACACATTCTCACACATGATATACAGCCACTTTCTAACAACTGAGTATGTAACAGTATCTTTCAATTGGCTCATCCAGCTGTTCACCAGGCCTGACAATGAACCAAACAATGAGGGGGAAGTCAGGCTATGTCAGTCTTAGGTCCTTCCTTCAACCTAGCTGAAAGAAGTAATTCAGTAATTCTTTAGTCACTGAGTTACACTAACTAGGAGATTACAAAGTAATCCTCTGATTGGCTGCTGAATTGCTGAGTCCCTCGAGACAGTTGTGCCTGAAGTATCCTGAAGAGTTTGGGTTGGCAAGTTGGAGTGAAGAAGCAGCAGTTGGGGGGACGAGTAGAGACTGCTGATTATGTCATTATGGTTTAGCTTCATGTGATCAGGGGATTTTTTCAGTGGTAGTTGAATCTAGAGCGTGTGATTCATAGTGCAATGCTGGGATGAAGGGTGCTGGGATTAAAGGTGTATGATTGCTGGGGCAGTCCACTGTTTGGACTGACACTGCACTAATCCTGATAGACTGGATACAATTTAAGGGATAGAAAGTGTCCCCCCAGCGGTGTTTGTCTTTCTCTGTCTCTCTCTCTGTCTCCATCTCTCTGTCTCTCTCATTGCTTTCACTGTCTTCTGCCACCCTAAACAGTTGCCCCACTATGAGGGAGATACCTTGCTCTGGAGCCAGACAATTATGGACTGAAACCTCCACAAACTGTGAGCTAAATAAACCTTTCCTTAACTTTGGGTGTTGGGTATTTTGTCTCAGCAACAAGAAAAGTAACTAAAACATATCCCTAAATCCATTTTTGGTCTCCCTCTTTTTTAGAACTGACAAGTTTTAGCAGGATATATGATATTATAGTCTACTTTGTGTTGTTATAGTAAGACCTGAGGCCAGATAATTATGAAGTACAGTCACAGAGGCCAAAGGTCCAAGCTCAAAGTGTCACATCTGAGAAACATGGATGCTGCCTCCTCAGGAGAGAAGAAAGGAGGTCCAGTGGACAGAAAAAAAAGAAAGAGTAGCCATGACCTGTCATGACTTGTACTAGGAGAACTGATGACAGCCCTGAGGACAAGTAACCCAGGGCATGTTGCTTCCCCACAGCTGCATCTTCCAGCTGTTGCATCCAGTTTCAACCTTAGATTTCTAGGAGGCAAAGTCGTTAATCACAGCCTTCAGTCATCATAATAAAACTGCACTTGGCCTCTGTTATGCTTTGTGTCTGGATGTCCCCTCTTTAAAGCTTTATGCATCAATGGGGGGGGGTGTTGAAGGCAACTGATTTCAGTGTTTGTGATTAGTTCATTGCCTAGTGCTGAGATTGGGAGTGTGAGTGCTATACCTGCTCTAGGAAAGGTAGCCTACCTACAGTAAAAAGGAGGAAGAAAGACTCCCTTTTTGCTCCTGTCCAGAGACTTTGCCCGAGTCTAAAGTTAAAGACAACAAACTAATTAAACTGGCAGAAGAAATTTTAAGGCAGTCAAATTCGAGGCAGTGTCATAACTACAGTTGGGAACTTTCTAGTCAGATTTATGTAGCGAATCAAGAGTAAAGAGTCCAGTAGAATGATTTAAAATATTCTGAGTTTGACCAGAAAGCAAGCTCCAGTAAAGCTGTGGACTGCAAAGATAGAGGAAAGGAGAACTTGATTACAGAACAGGAACAGGAGAGTAAGAAGGATGATATGAAAGAATCACAGGACTCCACCCTTTACAGCCTCAAATTGCAAAGTGAAAGACTCTGAAAAGAGAACCCCAGAGTACCCTGTTCCAGAATGGTGGCCACATAGAGAATTTGTTCCTCGGAATTGGATTCAGAGTGCCCTGTGATCCAGGCATTGATTCCTGCAGCCAAGTGAGAGGGAAGCCTGGCTACTTCTCCAGCTGGCAGCAGACCTTGGCATCATCCACGTGGCACTGGTTTTAGGTGAATGCAAAATGGAAGAGTTGTAGAACTAAGAAGTCTTTCACCCCAATTTTAGAAGACCTGGCCTGGAAGGCCAGGCAGTATGCCCCTGAAAGGGCAGCATGTGAGGCTGTGAGGTGAAGCCAAAGGTTCAGTGGAGACTCTAAAAGTTTGGAAGAGCCAAGGATGTGGATCATCTAAGGAGACCTGCAAGAAGGGAGCAAAGCAGACGCATGAGAGAAGCCATGGGAGCTACAATCACATTAAGTACCATAGGAGTGGAGCCACCCAAGCACTTTGGAGTAACGTCTTGCCACAGATTGTTTCAGATGCTACATATGGGACTACAGGACTTAATGTTTGCCCTGCTGGATTTTGGATTTGCTTTGGTCTCAATCCTTTGTATGCCTTGTGTATAACTTTTAAGATGATAATGTTTATCCTGTACCATTGAATGTTGGAAGTATTTAATTTTCATTTGTACAGGGACTCACAGCTGAGAGTTGGCCTTATATCTCGGAAGAGATTTCAGACTTGGACTTTTCAGCAATACTGAAACTTAGAACTTCAGGAGCTCTTCGAGATGGAATAAATGCCTTTTACATAAAAGAATGTACATGAGTCTTTTGGGGGCCAGGGTCAGAATCTTATGGTTTGTGTCTTGATGTCACCCCAAATCCTCATGTGTGGGTGTGGGGGGGTACTTTTCAGAGGCAGCTGAATCTAGAGTTTGTGATAGGTTCATTGTCTAGTGCTGGGATTGGGATGTGAGTGCTCTACCACCCTACGAAGGGAAGCCTGCATGCAGTGTAAGGGAGGAAAAGAAGCTTGCTTCCTCCTCTTTGCTTTTGTTTTTTGGTATCTCCTGCCACCATGAACAGTTGCTATTCAGCCACATCACCCTGCTTTGGAGCCAGCTGAGTATAGACTAAAACCTGCAACCTTAATTTTGAGTGTCAGATATTTTGTCCCAGCAACATAAGAAAAGTAGGTTGCCATGGATATGCGTTTCAGTTAAAGGTGAGAGCAACAGTGTGCAACACATGAAAAGGGTCTTGCGGCAAGGCAGGGCCACTGCTTCCTTTTTTCCCGTTGCTAACTGGAGTGAAGACAGAGTTCAAAACCCATTTTGGTCTCTCCAATGCTTTAGGGCATGCAGATCTTACATGAAGGTGTAATAACACAGAAGGAGCAGGGCTCATTAGTGCAGTGGCCTGCATCTCTCTGAACTGAATGACTGTTTTGTTTGAGCCACATGTATTTTGGCCCAACTGTCACTTGCAACTGAATTCAGTCCTAGCCCTTTGGGGTACAGTGATCCGGCTTGATTTGCAGAGCATGTGTTCCATATCCTGTGGGAGGCCCGAGGCACTGAGAGTAACAAGCCGGCATGTCAGTGCTTTCTTACAGATACACACACACACTTGTGAGAAAGTGTAAGTTAAATACAGCAATCAATCAACACTAATCAACTAGAGCAATGGTGGCAAACCTATGACATGTGTGCCACAGCTGGCTGTTTGTCATTGAGAGTTCCAAGAGGTGCACGTCATGGAACGAGAACAATGCAACGTGCTATGCTGCAGCTATGGAAGTGTGTGTGCGCTGCACTCGCCCTCCTTGTGGGAGGTGACACAATGCCCAAGGAATGCGAAGAAGTGAGAGGCTCAGGATATGGCAGTAGGATGCAGAGTTAGGTGACCGCGCATGTGCTTCATCAACACAGGTCTCTCTACGGTCAGTGGCCACCAAGGTGGTCCCAAGGGGCTGACAGGAAGCAGTATCCGCAGAGTGGACAAAGGCATGGATTACTGTGCCTGCAGGACAGAGCAGGGCACACAAGATTTCATTGTGTGACATAAAAAATACAATTAAAAACCTGTAGATTGTTTATTTCTGGAATTTTGCATTTAGGAAGTTCAGACTGTGGTTGGTTGCAGGCAGTTAAAACCACAGACAGTGGAACCCTGAAGGAGGGCAGAGTCCTGTAGTCAGCACCCCAAGACTCAGAGAAAATAGCAGTTGTCACCCCGAGGAGTTGGAAAACCAATCAATAGCCTCAGTTTCAGCATGCAAATCTACTGTGGAGTGTGGAGCAAAGTGTAGAGAGTTTCTGTTATAATGTAGGCAGCGCTGGTGTTATTTAGGTAGAAAACTTAAAAGTAATATCCCGTGAAACCCAAGAGGAGGCTGTAAAACATCTTGAAGCAAAAGCATTACAATCCATTGGCTTGCTGGACATGGTGGTACATACCAATAATCCCACAATCGGGAGTCTGAAGCAGGAAGACTCCTGGGAGTCCAAAGCCAATCTGAGCTACAAAGCGAGTTTAAGGCCAGCTTGAACTGCATAGTGAAACTCTGTCTAAAAAAAAAAAAAAAAAATCCAGTGACTGACAGGGTATGACGTCTAAGAAAAGGTAAATTGGGTACCAAGGGCATGGAAAGTGTCAATGAAAATACCTAATGTTTTAGATTGGTGTTCTAGACTATAACGTATCCAAACCATCCTTAAAAATAGAAAAGTCAGGGTCAGGGTGTTAGCTCCCCAGCATAAGCGCCTGCCTGGCAAGCTCGAGGTTGAGAGTTGGAACCCCGATACTCCTCCTGCCCCTGAACAGCAAAATCAAGGGGCGAAGGAAAGAAAAAGCAGCAAATCAGGAAGGTTAAACTATGTAACCTTAAATTGATACTTAGGGAGTCAGGGAATTTCTGGAGGGTGTACTAGCAGTGAAAACAGGAAGTTATGGAAGGGAGGAGTGTCAAACAGAAAGGACAGTTAACAGGCAGAAGAGTGCAGCTGGATGGGGCGCAGGGTAACTATGGTTGACACTGATTAACTGTAGAAAGGATATTGAAATTTCCTGACCCACAAAAAATAGATATTAGGTTGACAGATATATGAATACCTTAGTCTGATTGTTATACATGGCATATGTTTCAGAATATCACAATTTACCACATAATACGTATAATTACTACCCCTTAAGGGTTTTTTTTGGAGCAAATGTTGAGACAGCATCTTACTTATGGAGTTCAGGCTGGCTTTGAACTCAGCATGTAGCCCAGGTCAGTCTTGAACTCATCGTGACCCTCCTGCCTCAGCCTCTAGAATGCTAGGATTCTAGGCATGCACCACCATGCCCAGCCTCATCCATTTTAAAAAGTTTTTAAAAGGTATATCCCAAGGAGTATTCAGACAAAAAAGTATTCATATTACTACAGATGAGAATAGCAAGGAAAAAACAGTATGATAGAAAGCTAAAACACAGCCAAGAGAAAGACCCAGATAAAGTGTGAGGTCCAGTGTCACTGCAATTTCACATTAAAGTAGAAAAACCTGTCTTGTACAAAACAAGATAGCATTCTGACACGACTACTCCTAGCCCTTACTGATTAACACCAGTTTGGTTTCCATCTATATTAAGTTCCTCTGTTTACCAGGGCTAATGATTCTGACACAGACTCTGAGGCTAAATCAGGTATTACCAAAACTCTTCATTGTTGTATGACTGTTTTGTGCCCAGTACTGTAAGAGTGGAATCATTAAGAGGAACACATGGGTAAAATCTGCCTTGCATTAGTAAAGCTGCTTCATGTCAAGGACAGGACAGTGGCAGGACAGTGGCATGCCCCTGTAATCCCAGCACTCAGGAGGCTGAGGCAGGAGGGTCACCGAGTTTGTGGCCAGCCTGAACTGCAGAGCAAGACCCTGTTCAAAAAACAACATAAGCAAAACAAAACAAAGGAAGCACTGCAGAGAACACAACAGGTTCAGACCCTCCACAGACTCAGCCTCAGGAATAGACAGAACCCTGAAGAGAAGCATGGAGAAAAACTTACCTGGTGTTTCAGTTATTTTTTTCTCATTGCTGAGGCAAAATATCTGATGCTCAAAATGAAGGAAGCAAAGGTATGTTTAGCTTTCAGTGTTTTGGAAGTTTCAGTCCATTCTCAGCTGGCTCCAAGGAAGGTTAGTGTGGCTAAGGGGCAATTGTCACGGGAGCCACAAATGACGAAAACTAAAAGGGCAAAAAGGGGAAAGCATGCCTCTTCCCTCCCTGATACTGTATGTCAGCTGTCTACCCCATGGTGGGAACAGCACGCACATCATCAATCCCAGTGCTAGACAATGAGCCAATCACAAATGCTAGACTCAGGTGCCCTCAAAAGACTCACTGCTCCCCATGACCACATGAGGATTTAGGGAGACATTTAAACACAAACCATAACATTCCACCCCTGGAACCCCAAAGACTCATGCACATACTTTATGCAAAAGACATTTAGTCCATCTCTAAGAGTTGCCAAAGCCCTAACAGTTTCAGCATTGCTGAAAAGTCCAAGTCCCAAGTCTCCTCTGAGATCTAACACAAACTCTTAACTGTGGGTCCTTGTACAAAATGAAAACAAAATTGAACACTTCCAACATTAAGTGGCACAAGACAAACATTTTCATTCCAAAAGTGATGAACAGGGGGTTAAAAAGCATTGAGACAAAAGCAAGTCCAAAATCTAACAGGGTAAACATTAAGTCCTTTAGTAGCATTCCAGCATCTGAAGCAATCTGTGGCAAATTGTGAGCTCCAAAGGGCTTTATAACTCCACCCCTATAGCATTTGTGGTGGTTGTAGCTCCCATGGCTTCTCTCTTGGGTTTGCTGTGCTCCATCTTTGAAGGTTTACTTAGCCAATCCAAGCTCCTTGCTCTTATAAACTTTTGGGGTCCCTGATGTACCTTTGGCTTCATGTTCACAGCTTCACACACTGCCCTCTCTGGGTACACTGCCTGACCTCTCAGACCCTCTGAAATTGGGGTAAAAGCCTTTTTAACCTCAGAACTCATGCATTCTGTATGCACTTAATGCCAGCACACATACATGGTGCTGAGGTCTGCTCTCAGTTGGAGCAGTAGCCAGGCTTTCCTCTCTCTTGGCTGTGGAGGTCAAGTGCCTGGATCCCTGAGCACTCTGAACCTGATCGTGAGGAACAAATTCTCTATGCTGCCATTCTGGAACCTGGTGTGGCTGCAACCATTTTGGAACTTTATGTCATTCTGGAACACGGTGCTCTGTGGCTTTCTCCTCAAAGCAAACTCTTTCACTTTTGCAGTTTTGAGGTTGCGAAGGATGGAGACCTACCATTTCCTGTGGTGCCCCCAGGCCATCTTTTCTAATCTTGTGTTCCTTAGCAATGGCTAGCTCAACTCTGTCTCTATAGTCCACAGCTTTCCTGAAGCTTTTTTTTCTGGCCAGACTCACAATGTTTTAAATTATGCTGCTGGGCTCTTCGTTCCTGATTTTCAACATACATTTGGCTAAAGTCCCCAGAAATAACTATGCCACTGTCTCAACATTTGACTGCCTTGAAATTTCTTCTGCCAGATTAATTAGTCCACTGTCCTTAATCTCAGTCTCAGGTAAAGTCTCTGGACAGAACAAAATGCAGACAAATTTTCTAGCAAGCCATGACACACATTCTGTGGAGTCTAACAACCAATGCAGTCCTTCTTCCCAACAGAAACCTCCTGAGCCTGGTCTTTACTGGCCTTCTGACATCCTGAGCTCTGACTAGAATCCCCACTATGGGATAGGCTAAGGAGTTCCAGATCTGCTTCTTCATTTCCAACCCTTTCCAAACTTTTCCCACAATCCATCCCCAAATGTTCTTGAACCACATGGTCAGGTACAGTCACAACAATGACTGCACTCTTGGTACCAAATCTATTTTAGTTACTTTTTTCTCAGTGCTGATACTAAATACCTGACACCCAAAATGAAGGAAGGAAAGGTTTTGTTAGCATACAGTTTTTTTGGAGGTTTTTGTTCATACTCAGCTGGCTCCAAGGCAGGGTGGTACGGTTAAGGGGCAACTGTTATGATGATCACAAGCAATAAGAGCAAAAAGCGGAAAGCATACCTCCTTCCTTCCCTTATACTATGCCAGCCACCCCTCCCTGGGCAGGTACAGCACTCACACTGCCAATCTCAGCACTAGACAATGACCCAATCACAAATGCTAGCCTCAACCCCCTTTGACAGGTTCATCCTTCATGACCAAATTAGGTTTTGAGGAGATATTTAAATGCAAATCTTAACACCTGGTATAACTAATCACCACAGGTCAAGTCACTTAATGGAATATCTGTGCAGTTTCCTGAGATGACTGGCATGTAGGCCAGCAAATCAAGGGGGAGAACCTGCCCCCAATTGTGAGTGGCACAAGCCAATAGGCTTGAGGCCTGGATGCAGTGAAGGAGAAGAGGAATCTAGCTTGCAAGTGAAGAGCTCCACTGTGTTTGGGCAGGTATGTTTTTTGCTGCTTCTACCTATGGACCTTGGTCTTCAGTCTCTTCAGCCTTTTTTTTTTTTTTGAATTAGGAGTTGAACTTGCAGTTTCCGTGCAGGTGCTTATGCCACTGACCTATATCCCCAGCCCTCAGTCTCTTTAGCCTTACGAGGCCAGCTCACACCAGTGACTCTTCAGGAAGCTTCCAGACTTAAAAAACTTTCTACTGGTGCTGTATCCCTGATCCTCAGCAAAGTTTGAATATCACTAAGTGTATGAATTAAATCCTTTCTAGGGGAGTAGAATGGTAAACATCTCTTTATGCATACATACCAATAATCAAAATGTACTGTACGTCAGAATCACTGGGAAGACTTTATAACTCAGAATCTCTAGAGGGAGAGATCTGTGCATCAGAGCCACTTAAAATCTATTAGAGAATAAAAATAAATCCACTAGATTGGCAGCCCCTATCCTCTCAGACTGGTTTCATGGAAAACAATTTCCCCACAGAACAGGGGGAGGAAGGAAAGTATTTAAGCACCTTACATTTAGTGTGCACTTTATGCCTATTATTACATTACATTGTAAGATATAATGAAATAATTATCAAGCTCATCATAACACAGAGCCATGGTAGCTCTGAGTCTGTTTTCCTGCAGCTAGATGGTCCCATCTGGGGTGACAGGTGACAGTGACATTGGAGTGTGTTGCTGACGTGCAGCCTACTCCATAATCTCATTTTGGTTGCTATTCCCTGCTTCATAAACATAGAATGTTGGAAGCAGGAGCCAGCTTTTCAGTGCCTTTGTGGCAGTCTCAGCATATGACAGCCTTGACTCTCTAATCCTAAACGTATGCAGCTGTGAAGTCCCAGCATACTCCTGAGGCAGCCATCATCATTTGCCTTCTCAAGCTGCTGACCTTCCTCTGACACAGACATGCTCGGTTCACCAGGAGTATTCTCAGGTGACTCACAGATTTGTTTTTTTCCCCTTTGAGCATCTGTTGTGAGTAATGCTAATGCTCTTTGGAAGGCTGAGATAGGTGGGAGAGAGCTGGGAGAAAAAAGGCTCCTACAGTCTTTAAAACTCTTTTGTTTCCAAACATTTCCACGGCATATGTAATACAGCATATTACATAGAGATATCTTCTGATAGTAGATGGTCCCTTTTACTGTAATAGGAATTTTTATAAGCTACAACTTGCCAAAGAAACTCAGTTTACAGTTGTAAAGTGAAAAGGAGTTAATTTAAATAGCAAATGATACGGCAAGTTTTATAAACCTCTGTCGCAGATCCTTTCTTTTCCTGAGTGTCTTCTCCACACCACAGCTGTTGTCACTCTGCAGTGTCCTCCATCTTTAGCCAACAAACAGTTCTCCCCGACTCTAATCCATCCCCCAGGCAAATTCCAACTTCCTGGTTCCTTTTTTCCTTCTCCACCTGTCAGGAGAAGGAGCACATCTTGCTGATGAGCCTCCACACGCTGTCTGTGTTAAGAGAAGGGTGGGTTTCCCGTAACAGGGAAGTCTTCTTACCTGGACTAAATGCCTTGAGGGTAAGCAACTGAAAACTTCCTGGATGCTGGGGTGGAGCTCGGTGATACAGAGCACTTGCCTAGCAGACAGGGAGCCTTGGGTTCAAGAATCACAAAACAAATACAACAACAAAAGCCTAAAGCAAAGCAAACAAAACAAAACAGCCTCAAATATATTTTTGTCTAAGAATCTAGAATAACACCCATCAACTTGACATACTTGGGTAGCAGAGTTTCTCAAAAACACCTGAGGCAAGATCATCTCTATTATCAATTTAACTTCTTTTGGCATTAACATATACAATCTATTAGATTTATAGCTCTAAAATTCTAACATAATATTAGAATGTGGTAGTTTTATTATTTTAATATAATTTTGTTAGAATTCTAAAGTTTCTGACAGAATGAGACTTAACTGATAGACTCTTTCCAATGATTCTTTTTTTTTTTTTTTTTTGTCTTTTTCCTTTTTATCGGTACCAGGGATCAAACTCAGGACTGCCTGCTTGCAAGGCAGGCGCTTATGCCGCTGAGCTAAATCTCCAGCCCCTCCAATGATTCTTCAGTGCTTAATAATTGTATTGGTTACCCTGGGTTATTTACTAGGCTTAATAAAGCTTCAAGATACATAGAATGTTGTTTTAGTAGGACAAGAAATAAAACAAGTGACTGTCAATCTTTAACAAGTAGCTGATTTCTACTGTTAACTTCCTGCTGCATTTTGACTTTGTTTGAGAATCTTCACAGGGGTTTAGGGTGAGACTAACCATCTCTTGTCAGCACCATCCTTTCAGTGTGTCGCCTGACAAACTATAAGATAGTAAGGCAAATAAGACAGACAGTATTAGTTCCTCAAGACTCAAACATCAGTAACACTACATCTGTGTGATGACTTTTAACACACCAACCCTAGTGTTCTGGACAAAGTTTTGAATAAATGCTTTATCTGTCCTACATAGACAAAAATGCTTTTATTTATAATGCTAAAATTTTTGAAATTTGGAGAATTATGTTATTTTTATGTAGCTGCAAATTTTAAAATGTAAAGGATGATGAACTTGGGGGTTTAAGAATACAGCTCCATAAAAGTGTTTACCTATCATATGAGAAAATAAATAAAAATTTTAAGTTATCTTTAAGAAGAATAATTTTGGTTATAATTGGTATATCTGGGCTTCTTGATGGGCCAGAAATTTTTAGGTGGTAAAAAGATGTAAGAGATTAACAAATTATTATATGTTTATTCTATAAGAATTGTTTTTCTTTTCATTGCAGAAAAATCACTAATTATGTTATGACCAGATAATTTGTGATATAGCATACCTAATATATGTCTGGATTCATTAAAACTTCTAGATAGTTTTAAAATTAATTTTAATTGGCAAAAATTTCTCTTTGCTGAAGCAATAACATTTGGAGATTGTAATAAAATTCTAAAAGTATAACTTTGAATTAGTAATGAATTTTGAATTTTTCTTATGGTCATGCATTATAATGAATGATAATTATTGTTGTCAACCATATTGCAATTAGTATTGCCATGACAATGTAAAAGAAGAGTTATGTGGACTCATGGTTTCAAAGGTTGCAGTCCATGATTGGCTGGCACCATTGTCCTAGGCTGTGATGAGGCAGAACATGGCAAACCAGTACTGTGCAAGAAAACCACCTGACTTGGTGCACAGAAGGCAGGACTAGGGTGTCGTCTGAGGATGAGAGTGACCCCAAGGCTCTGCTGCCCGCTCCCCTCAACTTAGCCCCACTCTGAGTGCTTTTTTTGGGTGCTATTATGAAGGATGTGGTTTGCCTGATTTCTCTCTCAGCGAATATATTTGGGTATGTGAATGCTATTGATTTTTGAGTGCTGACTTTATATTCAGCTATGCTACTCAGTTTGGGTATTAATTCTAGAAGTCTTTTAGGGGTCTTCTATGTAGAGTATCATGTCCTTGCAAATAGTGATACTTTAATTTCTTCCTTTAATATCCTCATTCCTTTTATTTCTCTGTCTTGTTTAACTGCTCTGGCTAACATTTCCAGAACTATATTGAATAGGAGTGGTGATAGTGGACATCCTGTTTTGTTCCTGATTTTAGAGTGAAAGCTTTCAGTTTTTGTCCATTTAGTATGATGTGGGCTCTTGGTTTGTCATGGATGGCTTTTATCAGATTCGGGTAGAGACCTTCCATTCCAATTTTCTGTAGATTTTTAAAATTATGAATGTGTGTTGGACTTTATCAGAGCTTTTTCTGCATCTATTGAGATGAACATGTGATTTTTGTCTTTGGCTCCTTTGAGGTGGTGTATGATTTTTACTCATTTGCATATGTTAAACCATCCCTGCATTCCTGGTATGAATCTCACTTGGTCATAATATATAATTTTGACGATTTGCTGCATTTTGTTTGCTAGTATTTTATTGAGGATTTTTCATCTGTGTTCTTTAGGGATATTGGCCGCAGTTCTCCTTTTTGGTTAGGTCCTCCTCTGGTTTTGGTATCAGGGTAATAATACTTGCCTCTAGGAATGAATTAGGAAGTATTACTTACCAGCTTTTAATGGAATTTTTAATTTCCTGGATCTCTCTTTGAATATATTTCATGCATATTATTTCTTTCTTATTCATTTATACACAGTTTCCATCATTTTCTTATGTTCCTATATTTTTAAAATCGATGTCTTCTTTAGCTATGCTGAGCAAGATCATTTTTTTTTTTCTTATCCGAGAGGTTATTTCTGATCTGATTTCCTCTCTAGCCTCATGGATTTGTTTCTTTACTCCACTTGGTATCTTTTCAGAAATTTCAGGTGTGTGTATTCCAATGTCTTTTATGCCCATGTCTCCTGTACTTGTTCTGGATGGACTTGGAGTCTGAGATTTCATTTTGCCTTTTAGTTTTGTCATGCACCTCTTGGTTCATATTTCAATCTTTTCAACCTTGCTGCTCCCTCCTATTCATCTTTTGTGTCTTAGGGCCCTACTATGTGCCTGGCATTCACCCTGGATCCTGGTCCCACAATGTAGGGGATGGGCCAGTCACTTGAATTCCTTCTGTGGGACCAGTTGGATGAGTCCTCAGTTCTTCGTAGGCTGACTAGTCTAGCAATGTTGATGTGAACCAACCTTTAGCCCATATTGTTACCCCATCTTCAGAGTTTTCCAGGCCATTGGACCCACCTGTACATGATGTGTATTTTAGGCAGGTCTCTACTGTGTCACTGAGGGTCTTACAGGCCCACCTGGATTCCTCCATGTGGTAGAAGGTTTCACCTGAGCTCTCATAGGCCTGCTGAGGGTCCTTTATGTGGAGGGAGGTCTCACTGGTGCCCTCACCTGCCTACTGAGGTCCTGGGTCAGGGGAGTGGTTGCTGAGGTTCCTGCCCATGAGCCAAGGTCCTCTGGGTGGGGGAAAGGCTCGTCCAAACTCTCACTGGCTGCTGAAGTCCAGGTGGGGAGAAGGGTCCCCCTAAAGAATTTTTTCTAAAATAATTTCAAAGATACAAGAATGTAACCAGCTCTGTACAATAATTTTTTGCCCTAAACCATTAGATAGCAAGTGGTTAACCTGCTACCCACCACCTCCAAAGACTTTGGGATTATTCTTTACAAGTAATGCCATTCCCCCACTTAAGCCATGTGTAACTACACAAACCAGAAAATGGCCATTCATGCATTACGACCATCAGACCCACCATGTCCTCAGACTGCACCCATGTCTCTCCATCTTCCCAGTAAGGTCCACCATTGCCCAGCAACCCAGCTCAGAATCACGGGCTGTTTAGCTCTCAGGCCTTTCTCATCTTTCTCATCTCCTCAACTTGGAAATCCCTCTCAGCCTTTGATGGTGCTCCATGGCTTTGACTCCTGTTTAAGACTGTAGGCCTTTGACTTTGTTTTTTACTCAGGCTCATGATCATGTTCCGACTGTACATCTTTGCGGGATTGTAGCCCACATTCCTTCCCATCCATCTGGAAGCTCCTGTCCCAACCTGTCAGTGTTGCTTGACTGACAGTGCTGACCTGGGTCATGGAATGGAGCCACAGTCTGCTGGTTTCTTCCCAGAGATTTTCTTTTCTTCCAGCTGGTAACTGTTCTGTGAAGAGGTACTTTGCAGCTTTCTCCCTCATCCTATTTCTCATCAGACTTTCTCTTTGTGTATATAAATTAAACCCACAAAGTCCTATTTTTCTCATTGAATCTTAACCTTTATTGGCTTTACTCGTCACCATGCCTTGGGTATCCAGTTCAGCCACCAGAGCCCTACGGACTGACACTTGGGTGTGTTAATGTGTCCTTGCTGTTCTGAGCACATCTTGCTTTGGGCACAAGGAATCCCAGGGTCCTCTAGGACCTCGTCAGTCTCCTTCCTGAAGGTGATCATTTCTGCATGGAGAGCTTGTGCTTTCTAATGCAAGTGGGCATGTAAAGGGTGCTATGCTGCTTGGTGTTCCTGTGACAGGTGGTGTGGTCACTGTTCCAAGAGGTAGGCTCTTGCAGATGTGTGCACACCAACAAATGCAAGTGTACAAACACATTTACAACTGCATTGTTTTCCACATGTACCTGTAAGGAGTGAGACAGGTGAATTACACAGAACTCATTCCACAATCAATCTGCTGCTGCCTTCCCAATACGGGGACCCCTCCTCTCCTTCACCTTGAGGCTTTGCGCCCGCAACGGCCCTGTTGTATCTCCTCCCTCAGGCTCATGTGCCTGCCAGGCTCCTCTGTGTGTGTGAGCTCCGCACAAACTTAACCCTGCTTCACAAGGTTATGTGAGCACTACCTAAGTATCTTGCTTCTTCTTGTAACAGGACACTGATGTATGATTTCACACACTTTCATTCTCACAGAAGCACTGTAAGAGTTAGTGCACATGTGTGTCCTAAGGTTTTATGTTCTGCTTGCCTCAGGTTTCAGTGAGTTCCGTGCCCTGAACCTTGACTATGGTCTTTGGTGTGGGGCTCTGGAGAGGTGATAAAGACCCAATGAGATCACCAGAAGTGGCCCCAGGATGGTGCTGGTGGCTCTGTCAGGACAGGTAGAATCTTAGGCTGCACACCTGCCCTGTGTCACTCTTTGGGGTCCTGTTTCACTGTGGAAAGCCCCAGGTGCGGCTCTGTGCTCCTTGCTTCCCAGACTCTGGAACTGAGAGTTCTGGGAACCTCTTTCTTCATCAGTGTTCCAGTCTTGAGTATTTTATTTGAATAGAGAACGGATTGTGTTAGTCACCTTTGTGTCACTGGTAATCCTTTGGTAAAGGAAAGGTATCTTTGGGTTTTTGGGTCAGGAGGCTTTCATCCAAGTGGCCAGGCAACCCTCCCTTCAGGGCGGAGCACTGGCAGGAGACTTCTCACCTGACAGAACTAGGGAGCAGGGACAGAGGAGCAGCGAGGCCCCCACCCGCTGAGAGCTGGCCCCGCAGGACAACCTCTTCCCTAGGCCCTGGTCTCCCTACTTTCGCTGGGTAGAGAGAACACAAGGGTTTTCTGCTCTTCCTGGGCTCTGGGATTCTGGGACTCAGAAATTCTTCCTAGATTCTTTTCCTGAACAAAGATGTGGACAAAGTAAGTGCATTTATTTAAGTGCATTTTACATTTATTAAAGGTGGAAAAGAAACATGCTGTGCAGAGTGAGTGTGGACCAAGTAAAAGTAGGAAAAGAAATAGACTCTTCAGGGTGAGAACAGGACACTGTGAAAGGGTGCGTAGATGGCCAGAAGCTCAAAGGCACCCTTACACCCATTTGTCCCTCTACCCTACAGGCTAACATCAGATCAGAGAAGTTGAAGATCATGATCTCTGATTGGTCCCAGGTACATGGCTTAGGCATATGTTCTGGATCTCTGTAATCGACAGGATTTTACAATTAGAAAAATCATTTGCAAAATTGGTCATGCCTCAATCTCCTGCATCACTATCACTGAGCAATATTTATTTACTCCTTTTTAAAATTTTGAGTCAAGGTCTCACCAAGAAGCCCAGGCTGGCTTCAGCTTGTAAGTGTCCTGCCTGGGTCTGATGTGGCATCCCCTCCACTAACCTTGCTTCCTTTACTGCAGCCTCCTAGGACCTGCACACCTCAGGCCTTGCCGTCAGCCATGCTGTGGGGCTCTGCGCCCAAGCTCTGTCCACTTCACTGTGCCTGGAGGAGTCAGCAAATAGTGCCCACCTTGGTCCTGTGGCCTGTGATGCAGGCAGAAGAGCGTGTGTCCCCTGGGAGCCGCTGTGGCTGCTGTCTCGGGGACAGGAGGAATGTGAGCAGAGCCTGAAGGAGTGGAGCTCACAGACACGAATGAAGCACCCTCCCACCTGCAGGCCTGTGCTGGCAGATATCCCTTTGGAGACCAGTTTCACCAGAGCTTTGGTGGGTACTGATCTTTCCTCCCTAGCAGACCCAGCCCTGGTTTCTGTGAACCCACTGCTTGTTTTGTGATCGCGTTGGTTAGGTTGCAGTCCGCCGCTGTGTCCAGGCTACAGAGGCAGAGCCGAGCAGCAGTCACAGGCAGGAGGCCCAGGAAGCCCAACAGTCATCATGTGGCCTTTACAGACAGCTTCTGCTGCCTCTGGTCTGTGATGGATCTCACATCTCACTCGCTGAAAAGCCTGAATCTGCTATGATGGAAACAGTACATTTTTCTGAAATTGCACATTATTCACAGTAATTTTTGAGACAAGTTTTCTGTGTAGTTCAGGTGGGCCTTGTACTCAGAATCCACCTCCCTCAGCTTCCCAAGACCTGGGATTCCAGGAATCACCACCACTCACTCCAGCATGTTTACAAAAAGTTTTAAGGACATTAAAATGACAGTAACATGTTGACTGATAATTTTATGGTTATTGTTTTAAAACACGACTTAGAGATATTATTGCAAGTGCAAATGGGAAGAAATGTTCATTAGTGCAAAGACAGAGCTCCAAAGCTGAGGGGTGGTGCACAGGTTTTGTAAACTGAGTAACAAGTGATTAAGGTCACGGGAGAAGCAGCAGGCAGCTGCTAAGTGTCATAGTTGCCAGGCAATGGCAGGGTGGGCAGGACATGGCCCTCATCAGTGAAGCTGCACAGGTGTGCAGCTAGAGCTGGGGCCACAGCAACTCGTGGGCAATGGTGGCCCTGCTCTGTGCCCAGCCCCTGTGGCTCTTCCTCTGCAGAGCAGCTTCCTTTGGCAGAACTCAGCTTTCACAATGCAAAAGTCCTCCGGTGCTACAAATAGTGACTGTTAACCTGCGGAGTTCTTTTCAGTTCCTCATGAGGTCTGGGATTCCTCCTCATTATAAAAATGTTCCGTGAATTAGCGTTAATGTTTACTTGCAGAATTTAATTTTTAATTATGAGAAAAGATCATCATTTTCTTTATGCTTGACAATCATTTCTACTTTTTGTTTTAGCAACAAATTATTTCAAATTCAAGTGATTTTTTTAAAAATGAAAAACTATTTTAAAACTTATGCTTCATTGAATGTCAAACGTGTCACCATGGAGTTGAGACCATTTCCCTTCACAGTCCTCAGGGGCTGTCGCTGTGGTACAGGTTTCAGAGTTTCATTTCCCTTTCGGGATGAATAACAGCCCCTTCTATTTAAGTCCCCATGGAGAAGTCACGTTCTTGTCCCAGGCTGTATATTTTTATTATTATGTCTGTGGCTCATTTTAAAGCTTTAAGCTAAAATCTTGACTTTTTAAAAAACAAGAACTGATGATTGAACCATGTTTTATGCACCCTGTTTTCCTATAATAGTTTTTTGCACATTTAAGTGCAAGATTTTCATCACCTCCAATATGACAGACACAGGATACAGAAACTGCTTTTGGTTCCTGTGATGGCTGGTTTTGCCTGGCCTGGCCTGAGAGACCCCTGGAGGTGGCCAGGCATGCTGTGCATGTCTCTGGGTGTGTCTGGGGGGCCACTGGAGTGAGCTCTGGGCCAAGTCTGGTCCCCACCCCTTCCTTCCTGGCCCCTTCCCTTCTCCTTGCATCCTGACGGTCATGAGAGGAGCAGCTGTCCTCCAGGGGGCCCTTCTGCCTGCAAACTATCTTCCTGGCCTGAAACTACTTGAAGGTGCATGTGTCAGACATTCTGTCCCAACTCAGTCCCCCCACCTCAAGGCAAACAGCCTTCTGTTATTTTTTATGTGTAACTACTGGAGGGTCAGGAGGGTTTTGTATGGTACCTTTCAGGTTGAAGGCCATCATGAGGGACCCTTCCATGCCATCACGTGCATCTTGGCTTTGGGCTTGAGTCATTTCTCCTTGGGTCCTGTGTTCTGCTGTGGCTGCATTGGTGGGAGTGAGGGTCCTTTTCTCCCTCTGGACCTGAGTGCCCCCCTCTTTCTTCCTATGCCTGCAAGCCATCCTCCCCTCGGGTCTGCAGACCTGGACACATCCACCCTGCTGTGCCAGGCCTGAGGCGAGATGAGACAGCCACCCTGTGCCTTTCCATGGAGACAGCAGATGCTTACTCACCTGAAGGCAAGGTTGTGGGTGCTTCTGTCAGCATTCAATTCCTAATAAGGACCTTTGCCCCTCACAAGCCGAGGGTCAAACCTGGGCCTCATGGGTGCTGGGAGTGCTCTTCACCTGAGCTACAGCTCCGCTCAGGAGTTACATTTGGGTTTGTGGCAGTTCCTTTCTCTTTAGATCCACAACACCTGGTTTGGTTGGTGTGGCCCATCTGATCCTTGGCCTTGCACAGGTATCTGTGTCACAGCCTGAAGGGACCCTAGGGAAACCACAGGAGTTTCCGTGGCTGGCTCAGGAAAGCCTGTGTTGTAAGGGTGCTTAGATCCTAGGTGGTCAAAAATGTTGTAAGCCAGGCATCACAGCATGCACTTGTAATCCCAGCATGCAGGAGGCTGAGGCAGGAGGCTTGCATGTCCGAGGTCAGCCTGGACAACATAGTAGATCCTGGGTTTAAAACCCAAAGAAAAACAAAACAAACAAAAAATCCAACAAAAAACCAAATTGACAATGGTAGTTGGTAACTCTATCAACTACTTCTGGACAGTGTTCTTTAAAAGACTGCTACTTGAGAATCACACAACTAATATTCTGTTTTTCCTCTTGGCCTGAAGTATTGAGAGCTATTGAAAGAAAATAGCTGGTTCTCTCTTCACAAGCCTGATAAAAGCTGGCTGGGATGGGGACAGAGGAAGAGATAGAGAAGGGAAACACTGCCAAAGCCAAAGCTCATGTCTGACAGTTCCAACTATTAATCCTGTGGTCCAATTATGAAATTACAGTCTCTTTCAACTTATTAACTCTTTACTTAGTTTCCCTCAAAAACAGTTTAATATACGAACAGTTTCTGAATGACAGTAACGAGCTGTTGTTCTGGGATTTGTTATGGCTTATGTCTGTGTGCCCCCAAAGCCTCCTGTGGTCACAGGGGGCACTTTTCAGAGATGGCTGGATCTAGAGTATGTGATGCTGGATTAGTTCACTGAGTGGTTTGGCATTGCCCTAAACCCAGGAGTCTAGGTACAGTGTAAGAGGGGGCAGAAAGATGTCAAGGTCCCTTGCTGCTTTTGGTGTCTTCTGCCCACATGAACTGTTTCTCTTCTGCAATGCCCCTCTGCCATGTGCCACTCTGCCTTGGAGCCAGAAGACTATGGACTGAAACCTCCAATGAACTAGGAGGCAAATAAACCTTTCCTCCTTTGACTTTTGCTGTCAGGTATTTTGTGTCAGTAATGAGAAAAATAACTAAGACAGTATTTTCTAGAACTGGAGCAGTTAAATTAGGGTTAGCTACAAATATACCCAAGAAAGTAGATGTGACTCAGTGTCCCCAGGATGACTTCCTCATTTGCCAAGGAGGCTTCCTGGCCAGTGGCTTAAACCCCAGGAATGCACGACCTCACCTCACATCTAGACCAGAGCTGAGGCTCCCAGCCTCTGTCCAGGGTTTGTAGGTGCTGCCTGTCCCATCTTCAGCTCATTTTCCCTCTGGAAATGCCCGTGTCCAGGTTTATCCTGTTGGGAATCAGGGGCTGTGCCGAGTGGGACACACCCTAGGACCTCATCTGCACTTCATCACTTCCTTGAGATCTCATTTCAAATAAGGCCTCCTGTGCCACGTGGGCACTGGGACTTTGACTTATGAATTCAGGAGACGGTGACAAAACCACTGCTGGGATCACAATACAATGTGTGTTCAGGGAGGCGGCTGGGGCAGTGGCAGACCGCAGGGCTGGGCTGGCATCTTTGTGGGGAGAGCAGTGCTCAGACTGGACACCAGAAGGACAGCTGGCAGCAGGCTGAGAAGATTCTGAGACCTAGACCTGGAGGGCAAAGCACATCAAGTTAGTTCCAGACCAGGGCTGAGCAGAGAGGTTGCAGACCTGATAAGGAGGGGCTAAGAACACAAGGAACTGAGTCCTCTTTCCAAAGTTCCTTCCTTATGTGGCTGCTGCTGATGGAAAAATAACTTGCTGTTGAAGTCAGATTCTGTCTTGGTTACTTTTTTCTCTCATTGCTGGAACAAAATACTCAAAACCTAAAGTTAGGGAAGGAAAGGTTTATTCAGCATCTGCGCATAAAGCGAGGTCAACAGGCAAATAAACTGGAGTCAGCAACCTTTGTGGAGCCACCTAGTCATCCATCTCACTCCCCTCCTGGGATTCAAAACCAGTCGTGCAAACTGTGTCAGGCTTGTCAGGTCTAGACAGTTTTATTGTATCATTGGTTTATTAGGTTCCGACATCATTCCAACTGGAATTTGGCATTTTTCACAAACTTAACAAATTGCACCTAGATTTCTGCAGTATCAGGTATGATAAACAAATATGGTGAACATGTAAGTAGAAAGTTTTAATTATACACGGCCGTGAATCCTCCCTGCTTCCAACATACTCGTCTCATCGTTCTTGCACTTTCCAGAGCACCTCTGGTGTCTTTACTTGTTCTGTCCTGGCTGCCTCGATGTCCTAAGATGACTCAAAATGTGTCCCTTTCATGGTCATTTTGCCTGGGGAAGAGCCAGGAGTCACACAGTGCCAGATCTGGTGGCCAAGGTGAGTGAGGACACAGTGCATGGTTTCACAAGCTGCCCTTCTGATAGATGGCACTTGTTAGAACATTCACCATATTTTTTATCACACTTCATGAAGACCCTCAGAGAAGAGCACTCCAGAGCTGCTGGAATGATGAGCTGAATGTGTTCAAAACAAGGGGAGGATTGTGAGGAGAGTTAAGGATGACGTGTCCTTTACCGTAATAAGTATTTTAAATATGACACTCAGGTGTATTTTGACCCCTCACCCTCTACCCCCAGGAACTCAGGAAAAGCAGACTGCACTGTTCAGTGTCCGGGTCCTCCCTGCCCAGCTGCTGGCAGCAAAGATTGCTGTAGACTTTCAAGGTCCAGATACCAAGTGTGAAGGAGCAGAGCAGCCACAGGATGGCAGCACCCTAAAGAATAAAGGATCACTCACTGGCGGTCCTCCTGGGATTTGGAGAAATCCCTGGGAACCCAGGAAAAAACTCAAATGGAATCACTGTGCCTCCTCCTGGAGTCCAGAAGGTGAGAGAGGTGAGTGGCAGGATCCAGATCTCAGGGATGGTGAGGAGCAAAAGCTTGGTGTTCTTTGATTTTGAACCAGCACCAGACAAGTAGCCTGACTCCTCCAACCAGTGTCAGGAAACATGCGGAGATTTTTGGAGAATTGTGCAATACCAAATTATAATTTAGGCCACTTTGCCTAAGATTCACATGTAGCAGTGACACAACATATTTTGGGATACTGTACGTACTGTATAAAAAGCCACTCAGTTATGTGCACATGGTGTGTGTGTGTGTGTGTGTGTGTGTGTGTGTGTGTGTGAAAGAGAGAGAGACAGAGAGAGAGAGAGAGAGAGAGAGAGAGACAGAGACACTGAACACTGAAACCAGGGTGTCTGATAGTGGGCTACAGCCCCAGCCTGTTTGGGCTGTTTTTTTGAGATAGAGACCACTGTGTGCTCAGTGGCCTCAGACTTGTGATATTCCTGCTTCAGTCCCTCAGATAGCTGTGTCTGTTGAGTTGATTGACTGCTTGCTTGATTGTGGTACCACTGAGTTCTTCCTCCAGCCTCAGTGATTGCATCTTTGAACAAACCATCAAAACACTGCAGGGGTGAATTTCAGCACTCTCTTTGCCTTGTCATCTCTGAGGGGATATTTTCCACAAGTGAGTCAATGTCTGATGAAGACCTGTACCTGCCTGATGACTGCCTTGGTTGAAGGGAGGGGAGGTTGGTCTTGGGCTGGGAAAGTCTAGTGTGGTTTACTTGGATGTCAATCTCATCAGACAGACCTGTCCTCTGCTCTTATCCCGTGGCTTCTGCTCACCTAGCCTGGGCTCTGCCCTGCACGCAGCTTTCTTTAGTGATGGTGAGCAGCATCAGCTCCAGGTTGTTCTCCTTTCCAAAGTTTTGGGCTTAGCACCACTGGCCAGGTGTCACTAGGCCAGGACTGATGAGGGCTCTGGTTTTCCCAGCTAGGCCTGGGCTCATGCTGGCCCTGATGGGGCACTTCCCTCCCCATCAAGAACAGGCCTGCAAATAGTGACCAGCCTCTTTCCATGGGAAAATCAGGGCCAGATGGGGGTATTAAAAAAGTTTTATTTTAATTTTTCTGATGGAATTTAGTACAATGACATATAAAAAGCTAGAGTTACAAGTTTTGGAGGTCAAAAGTAAATCAGATTACTCACACGTGGATGAAGAATATCATTCATTATGGTAAAATACATGCTTTGGTAACAGAAGAGTGGTGTGGGGGAGGATGATGATGAGTTTGATGTTTTCCATGGGAACCAAATTTCTTGTGACTGTGAAATGGAATAAGAATCAACTGATGCAGAGTCAGGGAATGCAGACCTCGATTCAGATGATAAAGACAACAGCACTGTGAGTAAGTATCTGACTAGTTGAAATGTTACAAAGCATCTATGCAAACAAATAGAATGACCCAATATTAGAACTGGGTCCTAAAATATAGTGAGGGTCTTGGCAAGGGTGAAATGTATGGGGCGGAATGCCAGCACTGCTATTCAGTGTTGGAAATTATAACAGATGAAATACTACAAAATGCCGTGAAATACACAAAGGCTGAAATGCAGATAAAGTGTTTTGCATGGACCAATAGCCATATTCAAATCTGTATTTACTATGACACTTCACTGGCTGAGCTGAAGGCGTTCATAGGTCTGCAGGAATTTCTTATGATTTTCACAGAAACGTAAAAGACTTATGGAAAAGCAATGGGTCAAAATATGGCATCAAATTTATGTCCTTGTAGATGCAACTTATGAAGCTTTTGATTTAGACATTTATCCTGAAACTCAGCCACCACACCCTTAATATAGTGATAAACCTAATGGTATTGTGAATAGCCTTGCTCCCCTCTCCCAGGATAGGAGATGACATTCAACCATTGGTTTACCAGTTTCCAATTGATGTTACTTTTGTTAATAGAGCATAAGTTGACCAGCACAGAAACTGTACACAGGAACAGAGCATTGGAATGAAATATCACAATTTCAAAACGGAGAATTATATATTACCATCTTTGAAATTTCAGAAAGTTATAACATTGGTCTTGTATATGGCAAAGAAAAAGGAGCTGGTACTGCTGATGTCAGCATTTCATCATGAAAGAAATATTGATTAGAAAACCTCAACAAATTGGAACCCTGAGTGGAAATTTTGTACAACAAAACCAAAGGTGGGGTAAATGTTTTTGATGAGTTATATGGTAACTATGATGTCACTCAAACATGAAGCATTGGCCAATGATTGTGTTTTACTTGATCCTAAATATGTGTGGCATAAATAGTTTGGTAGTTTATGAAGAAAATAACAAGTGCGAAATATTATGGAGAAATTTTCTTAGAAGACTAGGACTGGTGCTCATAAGAATCATGTAAATCAGAGAAAAAAACAGAATGTTTCTTCCCTGGGAACTATGCAAAAAATTGTGGAGCAGCCTGGTGAGCTGACAGGTAGATAGGCAGGTGTAGCATCACAAGACCTACTAGAACAGGGAAAATGAAGTCAGCAGTGGCCTACAAGACAGGACAGGAACACAAGGCATATGTACCAGTGTAAGTGATCCTTGGATATGAAACATGAAGTTGTCATGTGTGAAGCCTGCCTTAGATGTGACAATTGAAACAGCTTATTGTAGTGGTAGCATTCTACTGATGTTTTCATTGTAGTGCATATAAGATTTTATTTCTGATATTATATTTTAGGTTTTGTAAGCAAGTACACAGCTGATGTGAAAATGTTGGTGTCTAAATGCACAGTATATATTAAGAATTTAATACTTTATTTACTTGAAATTTTATGTTCCTGTTAACTACATACTATATAATATAATAAGAACTTCTTAACAAAATAGACCACTGAGATGTCAAGAATGCCACGAAAGCAAACACAGGTGCTGTCAGTGAAAGTGACACATGTGTAAGGAACGTGCTGTTGTCATGTTGCAGACTGCTGAGGTGTGATAATTGAAGTAAAGACTATTTTTTGGTAGAGTAATATTGGCATTTTCATTGTAGTTCATATAAAAATTTATTTGTGTTGTTTTTTAGATTTCATACACCAAAAAGTAGTCAATTTTGAAATTTTTGATGTTTGTCTATAATCACTCTGGAAGAATTAAAAATTCAATACTTCATTTTTGTGATGTTTCCTGTTAAGTACACATTATTTAATATAATAAAACTCGTGAAATTAAAATTAATAATTCATCATAGAAATATTCTAAAGCATAAACATGGGTCCAAGAGACTCATGTTTCTGTACTTTTCTGGCAATATTAGTGTTATGGTCCACTATGGATAAAGAGAAACACAGACCTTAAATTGTTGATTCAACTATGCATTCTAAGGATATGGTGCAATAATTCCCAGATTAATTTAGAATGTCACAAAACAGATTTGGTGGTGGTGGGATTCTGAGCCTTTATAATTTATGGTATTTTAACTTAGAGGAAAAAGAAAAGGGTCACACATTTGTGCATCTCAGAAGATGCCAGTTCTACTCATGTACAGCCTACAGGTGTCTACAAGGACATGAGGGTAAGAAGAGGCACTTTTATGTGGCATGACCTTGTGTGCACATTTGATATGAGAAAAGGCACACAGCACCATGTTTTCTAAGCTGCCTTTCTCCTGACTTTTTAGGGTGTTTGTATCATTTTAGGGCCTCTGTCCAGCAGACCTCTTGGATGGGACCCGCTCAGTTGATGGGGCTCGGAGTTGGCAAAGCATTAGCACACTCGACAGGATTGCTGGACTGTAACCTGCGTGAACGTATAGTGTGAAATACTACATAGTATTATGATATGTGCTTACCAGCGGCTCAGGTGATGGTTTGGGGCACAGTGATGGTGTGAGCTGTCCCAGGTAACATTCAAACATGTGCAGACCCAAAGACCCTATAGTTAAAGAGATCAGAACCACAAGGTCCCCTCTGTCCCTCCTGCAGATCTGTAGCTTCCTCTAGGCACCTATTTTTGCTCTTTTCCTTTTCCTCTAAGTTAAAATAATCATGAATTATGAAGGCTCAGAATTACATCACCATCAAATTTTTTCGTGACATTCCAAATTAACTGGGGAATGACAGCAGCATATCTATAGCAAATACCTTAAAATCAAAGCTCAGAATTGAGAAGGACTCTCCCTGAACGGCCTGCGTGTCCAGCTGAGGACTGTGATTTCTGGTAAGGATGGTGACTTGCTCAGTGAGGCAATCAATATCAATACCTGTTCAAAAATACTCACTTTTTCTTCTTTTTTTTTTTCTTTCTTTGGTATTTGGAATCAAACTCAGGACCATGTGTTTGCTAGAGGACTATTCATTTTAAAGCAGCTGCTGCACTTAGGGAACCAGTCATGAGTACATTCGTAACTAAAACAGTGTCAGGTGTGCTTGTGTCCAGCGTAAAGCTCCATTTCAGGCTCGTGAGCCATTTGTCTTTGAGGACAGTCACTCATGGGAAGATGCTTTCTGTGCTTTAATGGTGGGGAGGGAGCAGGACAGAGGTGCATCTGGGACACCCTGGGACTTGTGGTCCTGATGCTAAGTGCAGAAGGCACCCAGAAGGCCCATTCCCAGCTGTGTGCTGGTGCCCCAGGCTGTGCCTGGGGTCTCCTGAATGGCGAGATCCTAGGTCCTGTCTGGTTATCACAGACAGCTAAGTTAGGTAGAAATATCACAGGCAGTCAGACTCTAAGCACTCAAAGGCAAAGGCATCAGTGGGTGGCTGGAGGCACATTCCCTGAGGGCCAGCCTTTGAGACAAAGATGCAATGATCACATTTACATATTACCTTTTGTAATAAAGTCTAGATAGGTATCAATCAATCACCCAGGCGAGTGACTAGGACCTCCTGATTCATCTCTTCCAAAAAAGATCCTTATTCTTTCCTTGTACACTTGCTATGTGATTGCTTCCCCACTGGATCCACAGTCCCTAAATAAATCTTGTTGGTTGATTGTGGCTTTGTCCCATATTGGACCCACCTTGTGATTTTGTACC